GCTCATAATCATCGTTTAATTTTTGATATATGTGAAGAAGGTTTACGACCACCAATATTACCTGAAATTCCTGATGACTATGCACAAATGATGCAGAGGTGTTGGGATGTGGATCCATCAAAAAGACCAACTAGTGGAGAGCTTCGTTATTTTGCTATAAATAAACGTAACGAAGTTTTTAAAAATAATAATATTATTATTAGTAGTAATAATAGTAGTAATAATACTAGTGGTGGTAGTAGTGTTTCGCAACAAGTACACAAACCACATCCAGAGGCATATCATCAAAGTAGAATATTAGATGAAGAGATTGCTAAATCTAAAAGCTTAAAATTTTATACAAGTAATGATAGTTCGTTAAATAGTCTTGGTTTTAACTCTTTTCTTTTAAATGATGATTTTAACAAAGGTGAATAAAATTTCATTATTAATTAATTGGAAATTACTATCCATTAATTATTACTAACGATACTTATTTGATTGATTAATAAACACTAGATTCTAGTAATTAAGAGAAAAAATCGATGAATGACTAATTTAATCTACTATAAACTTTTATCCATTCTAATTATTTATCTTTTATTTTATCTTTATTTTTATTTCTTAAAGTTAAATTATTTTGAAATAATAAACTTTTTACAGTTTTTTGGTTCTTATTAAATGGTGATATTGCGAAGTATCGTTTTGGTTAACACTGATTATTTAACAAGTATAACTGATTATGGCTTAACGGGTTACTCTTGTCAGTTAATCGCAGATAATTCGGTGTTTGTCGATTAATTAGTTTTTTATATTTATTGGCCGATTTCAAACTCACTTTAGTATCTTGCTTAACAGCCTTATGTTTACGATTACAATAATACTACCAGTATTTCCAATTAACCTTTGGGCGATACTTCATTAACGCTCGCTAGTTAGCCAACGTTAGTCCTAACCTTTCTTGCAAAATAAAACGTGGCTTTTTACCAAGGCATTGCACTCGTTGCTTTTATCAATGTGCTTTAAACAAACTGAATAAAGACGACGTTTTTATTTTTCTTTGTTTGGACCCGAAGTCATTCCCTATTCAAGTTAACAATAAAGGTTTATTATTGCAAAGTAACTTAATTAATCAATAAGCTACGTAAAATCTTCATTTGATAATAATTATGTTGTATATAGGTCTACACTAAAATTAGTTGACCCTGGAACATAAGGTATTCGGTGATTTCTACTCAGATCATGTATCACGTTATTAATGAATAGGAGTGGGAAAAATTTAGCTCCTCGGGAACAATTGATGAAACAAAGAAGAGATTGGGATGCACAAGAAAAATATAAAAATATAAAATTGAAGAAGACCTTTGAATATATAGTTATATGTTTTTTTTTTATGAGCTTTTATACATTTTATTGTTGACCTTTGGAACAATTTTACTTGTGTCAAATGTTTTTACTTGCGTCGTTTTTGACTTATGGCAGCGAATTTGACGTAATAGTTTTACAACTTTCGTCAAACAACGTTAGTAGGAATAGAAATTGATGTATAAACAAATGGTGAAATTTTCTATTGCGTTGGATCTCTTTTACCAATAATAAATTATATGTTCTTTAATTTTTTGTTCGCGGTACTATGATATCGGCTTTAACTATTTAACTTCACAATGATGCAATTAGTTGCAGAATTGTGGGAATTATTAATATTCATTTCCTAAATTTTGGTTTACATAATTTTAAATTCTCATTGTTTTATATATGATACAATGAGGGGTTTTAAGCTGTGCATTTTTGGTGCAAATTACAAAGCACAAATACCGAACGTTACAACTGCGTGAGCTTATCCCTCAAACCTTCAGAGGGTGATATGGGGATTTCTCCCTCTACGAGTAAATCAAACGATAGATGGTGTATTCATTAATTTGTCTATTACCTATAGTAATGACAAATAAACAAATAATCTTTTTATTGAAGAATTAAAATAACATTTTTTTTTTGTAATGAATAAATGAATTTTATAGCATAAGAATTCAGCCAATTACCATCCTAATAATAATATAAACAAGAATAAATTATTGTCAAGATTCTTACAACAATTTTTCTAAAAAAAAAATTTTGTCAACAAATACCTTCACCGGGAGAAGAATCGTCTCTATTAGTGTAAATGTAATTATAATGGATAAATTTATTTGTATATATGGCTTCAGGATGTATTTCATCAACAGTAGATATTTGTGATATCGCATCACATAATTCATCTTCGATCTGTTTATAATCATCATCATTATCATTAATTATTGGTTTTTGATTTAATAATAATAAATTATCATGATTACTACTAAAAACTTCTAATGACAAAAACGAATCATCAGGCAATAAATGCCATCTATCCAACATTACTAAAACTTCTTCAATAGTTGGACGATTTTTTGAACAGTTATCCCAACATTTTTTCATCAGCTCGATAAAACATTTAGGTATACCATTAACAACAACATTAGGTCGCAAACCATCTGAAATTTCCAATTGTAACCTTGAATCATGAGATCTATTATAAAATGCCAGTTGTTCTAAAAATATCTCCCACAATATAATTCCTACACTATAAATGTCTGATGATTTTGTATATATATTATTATAATTATCATCCAATTTTTGTTGATGGCTTACATGGTGATGTTGGCTACCGCCATAATCATTTCCTCCATTTAAAATTTCTGGTGCAAGATATGGCAAAATTCCATATGTACCATAAGATAATTGAATCGTTTGATCAGCCGGAAATGATAATCCCATATCAGAAATATAGATTTCAATTCTATTACTCTCCATATCTTTATCTTTATTACAACCATCATCTATAAGTGTGTCTTGTTCATGATAATTTATCAAAATATTCCCACCATGTAAATTTTGTTGAATCAAATTAGCAAAATGCAGTTTGTGAAGAGACCTAATAATTTCATGAATCAGTTGTTGTTTTTCCTTTAATGTCATTATTTTTGGTCTTGTTTTCATAAATCGATAGAGATTACCGTGAGGCATATACTTCATCACAATCATGTAATCTTTAGTGATTGAATCTTGCGTTATTCCATATATTGGTAATAAACTTGATATCTGAATTGATGCCTTAATATATATCTTGAGCTATTGATTTGAAAATAAGAAAATTAAAAATAATGCTAACATTAATACATTTATTAATTTTTTAATAATTTACCTTATTCGAAAACTTTGAAGAAATATTTTCTGAATTATGAAACCTTTTTAAAGCAACCATCAAATTATCACTGTCACCATTATTGTTGTTGTTGCCATTATTATTATTATTAACTGATCTAATCCACATTGCACGGTAAACTGTTGCAAACCCACCTTTACCAATTTCACATATATCTTTAAATTTTTCAAAATCAATCCATAAAAAGGTATTTTCATTTTGTCCTTTAATACTTTTAATTTCTCGCAATAGAAGATCAATTTCTTGATTACCACTTGTCCATCTTATAATATTTTTATTTTTATTTGGCTTTCTGCATTTCATTGAAGTAAAACTCTTATCAATTTTTTTCACCTTACATGATTTCTTGTTAAAATGAAAATGCCCATCACTACTGCTACTAACATTACCATAATCATCATCAACTGCTCTTAATTCACCTACTTCTTCATCAGAAATCATTGACAATGATCTTTTTCTGGAATTAGAAGAAAAAGACGAGGATGGAGAGCTGGTAGAGTTTGTAGCAGTGGTGGTATATGAAGATGATGAAGAAGATAAATGTATATAACTGCCCGTATCAATCAAATCCAACAATTCTTCTTCATCCAATTTTGTGCCAATTTGTTTATGTATATTTTTACAAGATTTTGAAATAATCCATTCTTCCTCTTCCTCCTCATCGCCATTGGTTGATGATAGAATAACAGAGTTTGAATCCATTGATTAATAAAAAGATCTTTGTAATCAATCAACTATCCTTGAAAAATTATCTAGATGACTATTAAGGAATGATTTTATCAAAAATTATCAACACACTACAAAGTAAATCTTATCACACTTTTAAATAATTATAATATTAATTTAAAAAAAAAAATATAATTAAAGGTAATTATGCATTTTGTTTACAATTATTTATTTTTTACCACCAAATCACATGGATACTAAATAATCAATCAACTATGACAAAATAAGGGGATCGCATCACCTCGGGTACATTAAAACCCCCGTTCTTTATTTGATTGGGTAGAAAACATGGTTATCTTATACTAAAAAGGGGATGTAAGAGTTTTTAGTGTACTTGGGTGGTGTGGTAAGAGTCAAAATAAGGTAATACAAAGTCATGAATCAGTGCACTGACATTACAAGGGCTCGCAATGAGACCCGGTGAACCATAATCACCAATTATTTGATCTGAATTGCAATTAACAAGAATTGAGTATTGTTTGTCGTGCGTGAAAATGAAATTCATGTGAAATTCAAATTAGCCAATCAGAATTTCATATTCAAACGTCCACACCCTAGTTCCAATCTCATCTCTCATCTTACAATATGTGGAATTCTCTATATAGGTATAAGATCCCGGACTAAAATTAGGTTTCTTTCATAATGTGTATTTTATCATGATGATTATATCAAAAACATACATGTAACCGACTTTGTCAATCAAAAAAAATTGCCATATAGAAGTTAGTTTAGGCCGATTTTTTCAACCCTATTAGGGTGCTGACATGTAATCATTTTAATAGAAGCGCTTACCCAGGTAAGATATTTTGATCACGTGCATGACAATTATTTGCCTTTTTTTAATATTAATAAATATATACAGATCTTATAATAACAATTGGTCAACTTCAAAATATTAAAAAAAAAATTTATACCATTTTAAAAAAGTTAACCGATAAGTTTTATGACTCAAACTTCAAACTTATCGGCTAATTTTTCCTTAAACTAAAAATTAGCATTTTGAAAATTCCCAAATTTTGTTATACACTTAAAATTGAGACCAAGTAAATTTCGTGTAATAAAATTTTTCCCTTTTTTTATTAATAAATAAATTTAATTGACGAATTGTCTCCCCGTTAAGCCGAATTGAACGGTGTGTGGTAGTTTTTTTGAGATCCAACGTGTGGATCACATGATATTTCAAATTTTTTTAAAGCAACATTGGAGTAAAAAAATTTTCCTTTATAATATATTATATTCTTTTGAAATTCCCGAGTACGATTTGCATCGTCCATCCCTTGACCAAACAACCTATTCGTTCCAGTCCTTATTTATTTGACAAATCATAAATGAATAATGCATCCTGCCAAAGAAAATTAAACAAAACTCAAGGGCTCTTGACAATTCCTCTCTTCTCCCATCACAACAAAATTGACGAAATGTATTTAAGGGAATGTATATATGATCATACATAAAAGTAATAAAAAATGTACATGGTAAAATTTTACAATCAAATGACTTCTAATCCCCATTTAATAAATACCCTTTCTGTGTAGCAACCACCACCAAATTCGAGATATAACTTCTTTATCATATGTATCTGCTTTAAGAAAATTTTTAAAGAAGGTTGTTAATAAAACCGAAAATAATCCGACCATCAAAGTCAAATTTGCTTTTATATTCATATTATACACTTGATCGCCAAAAGTTTATATCCAAAAATTTCTTTTGCATTTATTACAAAAATATACTATATAAATATTTGTGATTTTTATATCATTTGATAGTCTGGTATTTGTGATTACGAATATGATTTTGATTTTGATTTATGATGTCATCGTTATGAAATAAAAATAAAAATAAAACCTGAAATCTTGAAATGTTGATCAATTTCTTTAAAAATGGGTAAAAATCACAAACTCACTGTAGCCCAAAGATCTCAAATCATTGGTCTTTTTAAAGGTAAACATACCAGGAAAGAATTCAGCGAGATTACATAAATATTTTAGAAAATGAATTGTTGCTACTCATTCAAGAAAACTTTTCTACAAATCACTACAAATTTCAAGATGATGACGCACCTGTTCATACAGCAAAAAATGTTATAAAATGGTTATCTGAAAAAAAAGTAAGGATTCTGAAGATTGGCCTTCTCAATCTCCAGACCTCAATCCAATCGAACACTTATGGGACGAGCTTGGTAGAAGATTAAAAAAGCGTCCCTACACCCAAAAAATAAAGATGAATTAGAAAATTATTTGAGAGAAGAATGGCAACAAATTCCTTGTGAAAAATATTTGGGATTAATTGATAATATGCCAAGAAGTATAGAAGAATGCATCTCCAACAATGAGTGGACAACAAGTTATTAAAATTATTAAAATTTCAATATATCGACTTTTACTTTTTAAAATATCTCATAATAAAAATTTCATAAATCAAAAATCAAAAATCACATTCGTAATCACAAGTACCAAAGTTATCAAATGATATAAAAATCACAAATATTTATTTAGTATATTTTTGTAATAAATGCAAAAGAAACTTTGGATATAAACTTTTGGTGATCAAGTGTATGTAAAACTTTGTTTGACGCGTCCAATTGCAAGTATAAGCAGAAATAAATGTCCAAATATTACATTATTACGAATATTTGAGATTTTTGATCACTTAGGTATGACTCTTATAGTAAAATCATTTATTTTAAAGTAAATATAATAAATAGATATTAAAATTTTTCTTTACCTATTACTATATACATAAATAATGATTAGGATAATAAACAAGCAACGATAGTGATTAAATTAAAAGGTGTTTTATCTCTGGATTTATTCATTTAATTATTTATCATAGTGATGTTATTAAATATAAGTTAAAATAAAAGAGAAATTTATATACACATATAAATAATAAATATAACTATTGAATGATTGATAAAACGTTCGTTAGTATATTTTGTTCATAGATCTTGTCCTTGACGCTTACTTCGATCACTCCTACACAAACTATTGAATAGATGATAAAACATTCGTCAGTATATTTTGTTCATAGATCTTGTCCTTAATGCTTACTTCGATAACACCTACACAAACTAGATATTAATCTTTATTATCATCCTCAAAAAAGATGATTCGTTGTCGTCGTTTGCTATTTGTTGCTGCTACTAATATTATTGTTTAATGTTGCTACAGTGCGGATCATCTATACTCAAAATTTTTGAAATATTATGTGATCCACACATTGGATTTTAAAAAACTTACCACCATTCAATTCAGCTTTAAAAGGG